GCGTCCTTGCTCCTAGTAGCGATGCCAGGAGACCCTAGTAGCGTCCTCGCTCCTAGTAGCAGGGCCAGGAGAGCCTAGTAGCGTCCTTGCTCCTAGTAGTAGGGCCAGGAGCCACTAGTAGCGTTCTTGAATTATTATGTAATGAGCATGTTAAATTCAGGTCCTTTGTGCCGTTGTCCGTCTACTTGATCATCCGGAACTGCACGGAAACGCTACGCAAGCATTACCTTTATCTCTTTGCTTACATGGGACGAATCACTCTGGAGACTTACATTTTTCAGTTCCACATTTGGATGCGGACAACTGGACTCAATGGCTCTCCAAAGAAGCTCCTGGTTCTCGTTGACTCCTATTGGCTGAACTTTGTGATACTGACGGCTATCTACCTCTTCATCTCACTGAGATTTTCACAGTTGACTGGAGTCTTGAGAGATGCTTTGATTCGAGACAATTTGCGTGCCATGGGCAAGGTCATGTGCGTTTTGGCCGCATTTGGTCTTCTTTGCTGGATCTTGTCTCTTTGGTGGACGAGAAGCCTTTGTTTGGAATGCGAAAACAAGCGACCCTATGTGCCATGGATTGAACAAACAGTTGCCCAGTTCACAAGATGCTGCCACCTTCTTGCTTCTCCTCTCAAAGCCAACTCCACTGCTGAGGCCAGGCACTTTCCCTCCAGACCAAGTCCTTCAGCTGAACAGCGCTGCACTGAAGGTACGATTGGTGTAGCTTTGTTGGGAGTTTCTTTGCTTTGCATCATTGAATCTCCGGTGGCCTTATAGCAGTTCTATAAAGACATCGTTCTTGTATGTAGTAGCAGGGGCTAGTTGTGTCGGAGACCTACCTGGTAGAACATATGCTTTGGTGTGTGCCTCTGTGCAAGGGTCGCTTTCTTGCTTTGTGAGTTCAGGCCTTTTGGTTCTGGTTGTAAGATCATTTGCACCCTGAACCAGCCTGATACCGTTGAGCTTGTCTTGGCCGTCGGCCAATCATGATCGCCACATGGAAGGTGAGCTTTTGATGAGCGATGACTTTGACAGGCAGAAAAGCAACAAGACACAGAAAAGCTCCTAGTAGCGATGCCAGGAGCCCCTAGTAGCTTCTTGTTCCTAGTAGTAAGGCCAGGAGCCCCTAGTAGCGTCCTTGCTCCTAGTAGCAACAAGACACAGATGATTGCAGTTCATTGTGATTGCTTTATGCCAGTCAAACGGATGATCTTCGACAAGGAGATATTGCTTGGACCTCGAGCTTGACGTCACCACACAGACGAATGAGACCATCTTGATTCAGGGGGACAGAGTTAGACAGAGTTTCATGTTTTGCCTTGTGCCGAGGCTGGGCTGGACACCTGGCAGGTTCGAACCGCATTTCTACAATGTTGACAGAAAAGCAAACCGAAGGAATGCACGAAGCAAAAGGTTAGATGCTGCTGGTGAGAAATCAGGACAAAAGGCAACAAGGAAAGGTGTAAGAAGGCAATTGAGGAGGTTGAAGGACATGTATGTGAAGTGAAGTGTGCTTGTGGAGCAACAAAGCAAGATGGATTGTTAGTTTCGGAAACAAGAGGGCATTGAAACCTGTTTAAATTTGTATCACGGAGGCAAGAAGAGCTCTAGAAACGACATGCACTGGAAGGCATGAAACAGGTGACGGCATTCAGAGAAGGGACAAATAAAGATGTCAATGTTCCTTTTGAGACAAACACCCAGGACGAGGTCAGGAGGGTCACTTGTTGCAAGACAGAAAATAGAACGATTGACACATCACAAACGGTCCCAACAGGTAGAGCCTTGTTGAGATAACAGACGGTGAGAAGGAGACAAGATACAAAGAGCCAAACATTGAATGTTATTTTGTTTTGACATGTTTATAACATATTGGAACATGAGTTAGAAGATCATTGGATGTCGAAGGTTGTTGACTCGGGTGGCCTCGTGGTGGCCGAGGATGATGTTGTGCAGAGCTCGGTATTTTTTTCTTCTCGTCGTAGTCCGAGAAGGGAAGAATGCATTGATGCTTGGACAACACGAACCCCACAAGCCGGCGGATCGAAGGTGGATGCAATTCAAGTGGGCCGCTGCTCAGTTGAGGTGACATAAGTGCCTTTTGCACTTGTAGAGGATGTTCTATCTAACTTTCGACTTGTTGTTTGTTTGGGTCAGGCAAAGATGGAGAGGATGTTGACCTGGATGCTGGCGCCAGCAGTCCATGGCATTGCGGTGTCTTCTGCGTGTTTGTCAACACAATTGCAACAGGATGTGTGGTGCAGAGGTGACTGACCATTTGTGCTTGGGCCGAAGAGAGTTATACTGTAGTTATACCATGTTATTTAAAGGCTTACGCCTGACAGCCGGGCGCCGGCCAAGTAGGGTAAGAGAGGGGTGGGTCGAGGTGACGGTAGGCGCGGGCGAGGTGTGGTGTCGGGAAGGGACCCGCCAGGTTTCCGCGGAGTCTTCCATGGAGAAGACGGGGGCCGGGGCTTGGGGCACCCCGGCAGCACCCGTCCGAGGGACGGGGGCTGACTGCCCTGGTTGCTTGCAGCAACCAAAAGTCGGGAGAGCCGTCGGAGAGGGAGGAGGCACGTGGAGCGCGATGCATGCTGGGAGGTGGCATCTGTCAGCCGGCAACAAGAGCGTCGCTCATGCCAGCCAGCCGCTGCCCTGGCGAGGAGAGGCAGACGTGATTCGACTCCAAGGACATTGTCTGCAAGTTGATGCGCCAGCGAGGCCGGCGGGGGTGGAGAGGTCGGGGGTCGAGGCGTCGATGCCGCAAGGTGGAGACGTAGGCAAAGGACTGAGACAGCATGCTGCGGAGAGAAGTTACTGGCGAGACGTGGGCTCAACAACAGGTGAGCCTGTAAACAGAGCAAGAGCATGTGCAAGCCAGAAACAGCTTCCAACCCAAAGACACCAGAAGCAAGCAGCGCTGAAGTCCAAGAGTTATAGGACGGCAAAGAGCAAAGTGCAAGAGAAGCTAGGAGATAGCCAGGGTTTGAGAGCAACAGCAACCAAGCACACCTGATCGTTTTTTTTTGTCTATGTTTTGTTTGGTTTGTGTGAGCAGGGCAGGAGCACGTGCAAAGCAGAGCAACAAAGCTCTCAACCAGCTTCGAACTCTGAGAGGTAAAGGACGAAGCTAGGAAACCGCTAGCGTAGGACAGCAAAAGCAACCAAGCACACTGGAGCACTTTTTTTTTTTTTCGCTGCGCTTGGTCTCAGCCATGGAGACCGAGAGTGCTCGCGACGCACCGAGCGCGTCGCTGACGGTGACGACGGCTGAAGCCATGGAGACCGGCGGCGCCGCGGTGCGCGCAGCCAACACATCGAGAGCGTCGCTCACGGTGGCGTTGGTGGATTCGACGGGCTACGGTTGGTTGCCCGGGCAAAAGTTGGGGGACGCTGCGATGGATTTTCGCAAGTGTGGCGGCGTGGAGACGGTGGCGAGCATCGTCAGTGGAGGCAGCATTACGAAGGCCGGCAAGAAGGACGGCACGAACATTCTCGACCAGTTCATGCAATGGGTCTTGGACGGCGGGGAAGAGACCCATGGAGGGGACGTGGAGGTGGAAGTGGGCGTGGTGCCAGCCCGCGACTCCGTGCGAGGGGCACGGTATGAGGCCCTCGGGGTAGCGCGGCTGGCGTGCGGCGTCCCGGAGCTGAGCAAGAGCATCTTGGAGACAGTCCCTGGTGCCTATGGAGAGGCCAAAAAGGCCTTGCACTTTCTGCCGGCCTGTGCGTCGGAGAGCATGGAGCGGGTAGTAGAGGCGGCGCGAGCCGAGCTGGAAGCGCGTCGAGCAGAGCGTCGCTCAGCCGGCGCGGAGGGAGCCCCCGCGTCAGAGCGTCGCTCAACCGGGGGCTGGGTGGCCGTGGTGATTTGTGCCGGGTGGAACTGCAATGAGGTGGAGAATTTGCAGGAGGCATTTGTCGTGAAGCAGCTCTGCGAGACGCGCACGTGGAGCGAGTTCCTTTGGGCCTGCTCGGCGCACTCCAGCAAGAAGCGGGCATGGGCCAAGACGGCGCAGGCCTTGGACTTGGCGCCGCCGAAGTTGTTCCAGACGAACCGTGAGGACCACGCGCAAGCGGCAGCCAATAAGGCACAGTTCACCCAAGGGCTGGAGAGACATTTTGTCGGAGACGCAGAGTGCGTCGAAGACATCAAGAGCCTGGGCGGGTCGGCGCTCCTCGCCCGCTATGAGAGCTTCCAGCAACCGGCCCATAGGGCGGACCTGTGGCGGTATATTCGCTTGTGGAAAGAGGGTGGAAGTTACCTGGACATCAAAATGGCGCTGCTGCAGCCGTGGAGCACAACTCTGGAAGAGATTTATGCGGAGGGAGAGAGATGCTTGGAGGGACAGCGCGTCGCGCAGTCCTCGGGCCAGCGCGTCGCGCCGCCCACGGAGGTGCAAGCTTTGTCGCAAGTCCCGCACCTCCTCCTCAGCATCGGACAAAACCGCAAACATATCTTCCAGGGGAACATTTGGCACGCGTCCGCAAAGCACCCGCTCTTAGCCAGAGCGGTGGGGCATGCGCTGGGCACGTCGCAGAGTCACCTGCTTAAGCGATACCTGTTGTTCTGTGAGTTTTTGTGGGCGGAGCTGCGGCGTGACCTCGGCCAGGACCCCGTGCCTGGGTGGAACTTCTGCCCCACCCTTGGCCCCATCTACCTTTTCCAGGAGACGCTGGAGGGGCAGAGGAAAAACAGTCAAACAAAGAACATGTATTGGACATGTCTTCCAAAGCATTTCTATGTATATATGTCTTCGATATAAATATATAGGACCTATGGCGAGGCGACCGTAGTATCATTCGCAGGCATTAAGTAAAGTTTCTCTTTATATGTGTTCAGCTGCTTTGTTATGTCTTTCTTTAGATGCGTCGCAATTTTATGTACCTTTTCCAGGAGAAGCTGGAGGGGCAGGGGAAAGCCGAGCGCGATCGACGTGGGCGCACATGCTTGGGGGAGGAATTTCCAGTGGACGGTCACTTCATGTTCACCACTGGTGGCACGAGGTATGCCGCCACCCGGGCGTGGGGCTGGAAGAAAGGTTTTTTACCGGTCGCTTTGGGAGCCATCGCGACACAGCGGGAAGAAGCGCAGAGCGTAGCTCAGCTGGAGCCACAGCCCGGCACTCCTGCTCCCGAAGCGCCGAGTGCGCCGCTCCTGGAAGCGCCGAGCAGCAGCGCCGCGCCGAGCGCTGAAGCGCAGCAGCGCGTCGCGCAGTTGCAGGAGACCCCAAGCGCGGCGACAGAACCGGCGGCAAAGCAGGGGGAGGTGCCGCCACTGGAGAGTACCATCACTCCGGAAGGCTTGGAGCGGATAATGGCAGTGGCGACGGGGCACAGTGCGTATGAGGGCCTGACGCGGGCAGAGGTGGAGATCTTCACGGTGCAAGGCCTGAGAAAAGCGACCCGACGGGAGGGCTATCTCTCGTGCTTGTTCTGCAAAAGTAGAAAGAAGCAACAGCTGCTTTTCCAAGGCGCCAACGAAGTCCGAAACCACTTCGAGGGCAACCACGGGAGGCCACAGGCAACAGAAGCGCCCTCGCCTGCGGTCGCCGAGGAGATCGGTCAGCCTATGGCCGTGGTGGAGCAGACGATGGAGAAGGCGGGAGTGAGGGAACTAGGACAGCAAGCCGAAAGGGGCGAAAAGGATAAAACTTGGAAGTTTTTTTTTTGTAAGTAAAAGGGGTATATTTTTGACAGGTGTGTGTGGACGGGGGGGCGGGGCGCGCCCACCATCGCGACAGTGAGGTGGGCGTCTGGGCAGAGGAGGATGTGCGAGCTCGCGTGATTGCAGCGGCAGCGGTGCTCCCAGCGGAACCCCCCCGAGCCAACGCTGTTGGACGCAGCTTTGCGTGCCACCGGCGACGTCGCTGACTTCTTCCGCCGGCTGACAAGCATCTTGGGCCCGTCCATCGCGGGCAACCGGCCTATGTTGGCGACGGCGCTGAAGGACGCCTATGCGCTGCCCAGCGTGCTGCAGAACGTCGTTCGGCAGCGTTCGGCGCAGGGCGCCACGTGGAACGACCTCACCCGGTCGGAGAACGTGGAGTGGGCCGTGCACGATGGATCGGAGGGAGACCCTCCGTACGCGCTGGCAATGTGCAAAGGAGAGTCCTATGAGTACGTGGACAGGGCGAGCTTGTACAGCACCATTTTGGTGCGCTTGGTGGTGGACGCGGTCGAAGAGACCGCCAACAGCTTGGATGCCGCAGGGCGGCAGGCCGTGCTCGAGTGCATCTGCGTGCATTTCAATGAGGCCGCCAGGCAGCAGGGTCAGCCGTCGAGGCTTCTGCTCGCACTGGGTGGCGCTCGAGCCCTGAAGTTCGACTTGGATCCCGCCAACATCGAGCGCCAGTACGGAGGAGCGAAGAAAAGAGTGACCAAGCGGCAGGCTGAATCCGGCGTGGCAGTCGGTCGCTCCAACTGAGTGTTGCAGAGGTTGGAGTGAAGGGCCTAGCCGCAGAACGTCGTTCAGTGGCCAGCGGTCGCTCCAAGCGAGCGTGACCGAGAGGAGCCGCAGAGCGTCGCTCAATGGCTTCGTCGTGCCGTTGGAGACGCCCTCAAGCCGCAGAGCGTCGCTCAGCTGCGCTCAGCGGCTGGCAGAGTAGCGGGGCCGAGCCCCTCGGGACGCTGCGGCGCTCGTGGCACCCAGAGAGAGAAAAAAGGAGAGACAGACTGTGTTTGTAAGCAAGCAAGTTAGAGCGGGGCTAGTCGAACCGGGACCCAAAAGGAGCCTAGGCAGAGCGCACGGGATCGAGGACAGCTGCTTGTGTCCGCGACGCGTCCGCCGTTCGTCGCGCGAGCGCGAGCAGGTGTCTGCCGCGACCGAGAACTACGCAGCAGACCGACGGCCGGAGGACTTTTTTTTTCCTGCCGGGCAGGGGGGCGTTGGAGCAAGCGGGTGTGCGCAGGTGGAAAGAGAGCCAGGGCTGAAGGAAACGGGTCTGTGCAGGTATGCCCAGCGTGAAAACGGGGACGGGCCCGGACCCCACGCGGCCGACTGCGTCGTCGCCCGAGGAGTTGGTGGGCTGCGCTCTCCGACGGTGCGAGGCGCAGAGACCGCGCGCGCGAGCCGAGAAGGGAAGGCTGCAGGGGTATAGAGTGTTGCTTTTTTTTTCCGTGTCTCTCGGCGGGCGCGGAGCGACCGCAAGCACGGAGCGCGGGGAGAAGCGAGCGTCGCGGGGGCAGAGTGTCTTGCTGGTAGGTTTTTGTTGTGTGTTGGGCAGGGTTCGCGGCAGGGGTGACAGCGGAGGTCGGTACGTCTGAGCAGAGCGTCGCTCAACCACACCCAGGACAGCCAGACGGTTGTGTTGAGTGTAAAGGCGGCGCGACCTCCACGGGGCGCAACACACGGCGGCAGCGCGTCGCGCAGCCGGCAATGTTTTTGAGATAGGCCCTAACCCACCCGGTGACGCGTCGTGCAGAAGTCAACGAACGAGTAATGTCTTAAGAGCGTCCGTGGTTTGCAGGGATGGAAAACAAGCTAGCATGTTCTCCGGTCGGGATCCTGGGTTGCGTACCTTGGGTCACGTCGAGGCTACCGCTGCTAGGGCCTCGCGACGTTGTTTGTGGAATCATGTCAGCATGTTTACTAAGTGTAAGTGGTGGATTGGTGGCCGGAGGAACTGGATACGGTAGACGCGTGGACCGAGCATGTGCTCTGTCGCGTTGTATTTGTAGCTATGAAGCATGTGTAGGTTACATTGTTGTAGCCATTTGACCTGTCCATACAAGCAAGGTTTCCAGAGGTTTGTAGCCATGTCAGCTGGCGCCACCCAGATCGACGACTATGCCTTGACAGGGGAGGCCAACGAGCTCAAGTTGGTCTTGTACTTCAGTGATGGAACCAGCCAAACGTAACTTGACCAGATGTTGTGTCTATTGTTCAACTCCAACATTATTTATCGACTTTGTTTTGGATGCTTTAACCAACGAAGGTATCCAAGGCCATTACCAAATCCAGATGGTAGAAGGGGGTCCAAGTGGGCTGTGGTACACAGTGTGTGTCGCACATCTATGAGCCTGTACAGGGTGTACCAGGCACCAGGCCAGGAGCCAGAAGTCATTGAGTCAACCCAACTTGCAAAGTGTATCCACGACCTTGGATACCAGGAGGCCATACCATTGGTCCACAAGTGGTTCAGCTAAATCTAGCCAGTTTTGGAAAAGAGAAAAGTGTTTGCCGCATTCAGTCGTTCTTGTTGCCATCATGGCCTTTCACCATTAGACGACATTTCATCAGTACTGTTGGAGACGCCCTCGAGCCGCAGAGCGTCGCTCAGCTGCTGTGTGCGGCTCTGGCAGAGTAGCTGCGCCTATCCCCTCGGGATGCTGCGGCGCTCGTGGCATCCAGAGAGAAGAAAATGAGAGACACAGTGTGTTCGTATAAGGAAGCAAGTTCGAGCGGAGTTAGTCGCACTGGGACCCGAAAGGACTCGAGTCAGAGCGCACGGGATCGATGACAGCGGCTCGTATCCGCGATGCGTCCGCCGCGCGAGCGCGGGCAGGTGGCTGCCGTGACCGAGAACCACGCAGCAGACCGACGGCCGGAGGACCTGTTTTTTTTTTCCCGGCAGGTGGGTGTTCGAGCAAGAGAGCGTGCGCAGGTGGAACGAGCGTAAGGGATGAAGGAAACGGGCATGTGCAGGTCGTCCAAGTGTGAACATGGGGACGTGCCCGGACTCCACGCGGCCGACGGCGTCGTCGCCCGAGGAGTTGGTGGGCTGCGCTCTCCGACGGTGCGAGGCGCAGAGAACGCGCGCGCGAGCCGAGAGGGCAAGGCTGCAGGGGTAGAGCGTTGCCTTTTTTTTTCTCTTTCGGTGGGTGCGCAGCAACCGGAACCGCGGAGCGCGGGGAGAAGCGAGCGCCGCGGGGGCAGAGTGTCTTGCTTGTACGTTTTCGTTCTGTGTTGGGCACGGTTCGTGGCAGGCGTTAGGGCGGCGATCGATACGTGTGAGCGGAGTGTCGCTCAACCACCCCCAGGAAAGCAAGACGGTCGGGGCCAGTGTAAAAGCTGCACGAGCTGCGCGGAGCGCAAGACACGGCGGCAGCGCGTCGCGCAACCGCAAAGCAGGAGAAGTTTTTGACATAGGACCCGACCCAGCCGGTGATGTTTAATGCAGAAGTCAACGAACTGGTAATTTCTTCAGAGCAGCCTTGTTTTGGTAGGATGGGCAACAAGCGAGCACACAGCCAAACATGTGTCTCACGTCGCTGCGCGAGCTCCGCGGAGCACAACACACGGCGGCAGCGCGTCGCGCAACCGCGCCCGCAGAGCAGGAGATGTTTTTGAGTCGGGACCTGACCCATGCGGTGATTTTTAGTGCATAAGTCAACGAACGGATAATTTCAGAAGGGCATTCGTGAAAGTTTTGCAGGGATGAAAAACAAGCTAGCATGCATTCAAACATGTTTCTCACGTTTCGTCACGTGTGGTTTCAGGGGAGTGGCGGGTGGGCGTCCGCTTTTCTTCGGGTGGCAAAAGTGATCAGCCAACCAGCCATGCAGCGCCCACACTTGGTGCAATTCCAAGCTGACCTCTACCGATACAGAATGGCAATTCAACTGAGATGTGATGCCCTAGCAGCTCTGAGGGCTATGGAGACCATGATGCAACACTTCGAAGACATGGGGTTTACCAATACCGCCAACATGGAAGTCCTGAATCGAACCCGAGACGACCTGGCGGACTTCGCGACCTTTGCAGACTATTTGTTGGGCCAAGCGACCGAAACCCTGAATAACTGGGTTCAGTGGAGTGGGTAGCCAACGCGCTACTTTGTACCATAGAAGCATCATATACGCATAGAACACAAAACCCAAAGGAGGAAGCAAAGGCGTGTCGTCGGCAAAGTTGCCAAATGGCTTCAACTCGGAGGGTGTCAGAGAGCCGTGTCTGACCTGTAGAGGGCGCCTGTCAGGATGTAGACGCAGCGACGGGCGAGCGGCGCGTCGCGCAACCACACCTACAGGGGGGGGGGTTTTCCAGAATTGTTATTGGGTCCCGGTGTCCGTAGTCGTGTTTTTACGAGGTGACGAAGTAGGAGTAGTGCCACCTTCCCACGCTCCCGCTATGGCCGAAGCCTTCGGAGGAAGCCCGAAGAAGCGACGTCGTAGTGGAAGCGACGGCCCAGCCGGCAGCTCGCGTGAGCAGGTTACTGTGTCCAAGCTAGAAGAGATCCATCGCCTGCGGGCTCGCACAGAAGTCAACTTCAGCGGGCACGTGCTCGCAGCGGACGAGACGGTGCAGAAGCGTGACACCTTTGTTCGGGGCGCTTGCACGCAACGGGAGGTGGCAGGATTCATCGCAGCTGATGCCTCGTGCTTGGTTCAAGTGGCACTGTGGGGCGACGTGGCAAAGAAGTACTTCGAGTCATTGACAAAGGCGCTCGACGAGGCGGCAGACGGAGTTTTCCCTCGGATCGAAGTCACTGCCTGCCAGGTTACCACTGTGAAGCATCCAGAAGGGACATCGTTGCGACGGCTGGCGTCAACGGCGAGGACCACGGTGAAGTTGCTTGAATCGACCCCACTGACCATTTCTCCGTCTCCACGTGTCCTCACGACCAGCGCGGCAGACTTGATGCATGTGCCTCAGGTCTCATGCTTCATGGGGGTCGTGAGCCGCCTAGAGGCGCGCGTCTTCTCGCAAGAGGACGTGGGAATGAGAGAAATTGGGATCAGCACGCAGAATGGATATGAGGTGCCAGTGATGCTGTATGGGGTGCAAAGTGAAGAGGAAGTCGAACTCCGGGACCGCGTGGCGGTGTGGTTTGGCGAGGGGAAGCCCCCGTTGGCGAACAGAGACGACAGCAAGGGCATGATCTGGTTGTACGGATCCGGGTACTTGCTGGCTTTGGGGAAAACCGAGGAGAGCGACCAAGGCAGACCCCTGGACATTGGCAGAGCGTCCCTAGAGGAAGACGCGCGCGAGGAGTAAAGGGACCGGCGCGGCCGTTCCGCGCCGCAGAGCGTCGCTCGGCGGCCGCTCCGGAGCGCGCACGCGCGCGACGGCGAGCAGAGCGTCGCTCCCTCACACGTCTGGGACGCGGCACCCCGCCGCGACAGAGCGCGGCGCGCCGCGGAGTTGCTCTTTGCTCGGTCGGATTTTGTATGATTTGAGTCCACCCTCTGGACGCTGAGCGAGAAACAATGAAAAGCAATCGCAGGTGTCCGACACATAACCGCACCAACTGACAAGGTCGAATCCCATTGACCCTTATATATATATATATATCTGGACATCTATATATATGTATATATATATATATGTATAGACATCAGACTCGTGTCCGCAGAAGTTCCTCTAATTGCAACACGTGGGCTCGATAACAGATGTGCCTGTGAACAGAGCACGACCACGTGGAAGCCAGAGGGAAGAATCCTGCTACGTAAAAACAGCAGACGCAGGCAGGGACAGACTCTTCGAGTGATAGGGTGGCCAAGGGAAATACCCAAGAGAAGCTAGGAGACCGTGAGCACTAGAGAGCACTGCCACCGAGGTTGTGTTTTTTTTTGGTGTTTTTTTGTTTTTTGGGGGTTCTCTTTTTTTGTAGCCATGGAAAGCGAGGGCGCAGCGGCGCGCACAGCGAGCGCAGGCGCGTCGCTTGCGGTGACGTCGGCCGCAGCCTTGGCGGCCAGCGGCGCCGTGGGGCACGCGGCCGACGCACCGAGTGTCGCGCCGAAGGCGGCGCCCTCCGAGCCAACGTTGTTGGACGCAACCTCGCGCACCTCCGGTGAGATCGCCGACTTCTTCCGCCGGCTGACGGCCGTCCTGGCACCGTCCATCGCTGGAAACCGGCGTATGTTGGCGACGGCGCTGAAGAACGCGCAGGCTCTGCCCTGCGTGCTGCAGAACGTCGTTCGGCAGCGTTCAGCGTGGGGAGCCACGTGGAACGATCTGACACGGCCGGAGAACGTGGAGTGGGCCGCGCACGATGGAACAAAGCGAGCGCCTGCGTACGCGCTGGCGATGTGCAAGGGTCATTCCTGGGAGTACGTGGGCAAGGCGAGTGTGTACAGCACCATTTTGGTGCGCTTGGTTATGGACGCTGTCGAGGAGACGGCAGACGCCTTAGACGACGTCAGTCGGCGAACTCTGCTGGAGAACATCTGCGTGCATTTCAATCAGGCCGCCAAGCAGCAGGGTCAACCGTCGCGACTTTTGCTTGCGCTGGGCGGCGCCCGATCTTTGAAGTTCGATTTGGATCCGGCCGACATCGACCGCCAATACGGGGGAGCAAAGAAAAGAGTGACCAAGCGGCAGGCAGAATCTGGTGCGCCCCTGGAACGCTCCAAGCGGGCGCTGCAAAGGTTCGAGTGACGACTCAAGCCGCAGAACGTCGTTCAGCGCCCAGTGGGCGCGCGAGGAGAATGTCACGGAGGGGCGCCCCAGGGCCTCCCGCAACAGCTCCCTCGGCTTGGCCGACAGGCTCCCGGCAGCGCCCCGGGGGCGGCGAACACGCCACGGAGGGCGGAGAGCTCGCTGCGGGGCATAGCCGCACTGAGATGGGCTGGTGCTTTTCTAATGCGTTAAGATAATTAAGATGTTAGCTTAAGGTAGCTAACTAGTTATAACTGTGCTAAAGTTAAAAAAATTAGCCATTTTGCAATCAAAAAACTCTAACAACAAGAATGCAAAATGGGATGGAACAATATTGAATGTATGCTATTTGCAAAAACAAATTGCTTTCAAACAAATTTCCAGGCCAGCATCTGCCAAAAAAATTTGGAGCTTCAAAACAGCTGAACAAATTGTACAAACATCTCCTTCTTTCAAATGATTGGAAATCTTTTTTTCCTGGCTTTGGGCCCACATGTAAGATGGAGTGAGACAAGTGGCTTTGCCATCAGAAGACATGGTGTAAACCAAAGGGCTTTGCAAAGAGTCTATCTGCACCCACGACAATTTCTGTTCTTTTGGCACATGCCATTTTGTACACCTTGAGCTTGCAGACTGCTCTGAAAACAAATATTCTTCAATCAAAGCCAACTTGACACCAGAAAGCTGCATTAATGAATGCACTTTGCCACATTTGGAACCAAACGATCCTTCCTGGTCCATGTCATTGGGATCATGGAAAAATACAACATCCTTGACAGTAACAACTGCTTGCGATGTCAATCTGCAGGATTGGCTGCACCACACTTCTTCTCCATCTAAGATCAACATGTGCTGCTGCAAGAAAGCAAGCAATTTCTTGGTAGGCCTTCGGGGTTCCACCAAGAAGCTGCCTGCCTTGAAAACTTCATAATCTGATTCCAACACAAACATGTGCTCTGCAATGACTTCAGTCATCATTGACTTTTCATACTGAGCAGTATTGCAGATGTTGTTGCCAAACTTTCGCACACTCTTGTGCTTTCGTTCCAAGCTCCAACAAGCAGGGAGTTGTGAGAATTGCTTGAGAGCATCACTGTAGTGAAGGGCCCAGTGGTATTTGGGCTTCATGTGTTCACCCCAACCTGCTGAAACAAAACTTTGTAGTGCATGCTCCACCAAAAGCTGTAAGCGCATGTGATTTGGCTGATCCAAAGAGGGAATGCTGATACAGTAGTCTAAGACCTTGCACCAATTGATATAGCATTGGCACTGCAAAGTGCAAAAATCATGCTTCAACACACAAGTGTGGATGTAGACTTCAAGCAGCCTATATAATCCAAGCATTTCAGATGCTGTGCACTTTATTTTCTCTGCCTTGCGATGGCTTTCCACCATCTTTGATTCAAAGAGCTTGTGCACCTTGCAGTGACTTTGAAAAGCAGGGTGCACCCACAACTGAAGAAAACCATGTAGAGTCTCCCAGATGTTTTGCAAACCTTCTTCAAACAAAGCTTGTAGCAACAAATACACAATCCAATTCATGACACCATTTGAGCATAGCCCATGCATAAAATCGTGGCAATAGCCACTGATAGGTTTGATGATTTCTTGTGTCCTTAATATGTCACTCATCAACAATGCACTATCATCAAAGTCAATGCCTGCTGCTGACTGCCACTGCTTCCACTGCTGCTGATTCAAAGAGGGGCGCCTTTCTCTCATGCGCATCCATGAGTCTAAGATTTCTTGATCAGTTGCGATGTCAAGGTCTCGATGCTTCAAGTATTGCACCAATTTAGAATCAGACACATCACCTTCTGCATTCTGCCTGCGAGAAATAAAAATGTTTTTGCAATGCATACAAATGCGGCTTCCTTGGTCTTGCTTGTTGCTGAAAGTGAATTTCTGAGCGCTCCCATCCTGGAGTACCATTCCTTGAGTCCAAAAAAGTTTCAATCTTCTGTCACCTGGCCCTTTCAAGAGGACTCCAGTGTGTGGATGGCAATATTCATTGCTGTATTGGTGTTCTAAAACATGTCTGAACACCTGGCCTATCCCTGAAGCAAGCTGATTGACTTCTGTGGATCTGGCCACTACCAAAGTCATCCAAGCTTCAGCTTTGGATAAGTAGTTGCCCAGTTCCAGCCAGGAAAAATACATGCACCAACACTTTTTGCTGGAACCTGCTAATTGATTGCCTGGGTGAACTTCATCTGCGTAGCAAATGGAGCGCCATGGACGCTCCAGAGAGCTAGGAACTTGCATGTGAATATGGTCAAGCAAGTCTGCAAATGCTCCTCCACATTGGTAAGCTGCAGCAATGTAGGAAAAAATGTTGGCAAACAAAAGTTCCCTTGGTTCATTGACCACAGACATGGCTGTGACTGTCACCAGCAGCGGTCCATACAAGTTCATGCTTGCAATCAGAGTCTGGATAGCTTGCCTGATGTTCTTTCTTTTGTGTTGTGGTGGCACACCTTCTTTCTCCACCAAGTCCAAGATGCCTGCTAATGCACTCTGGCTGCAAAATGGTACTTTCCCTCTAAAGCCTAGGAGGTTCCTTGCACCATCCACATGTTTGCCCTGTTTGCCCATGGCAATGGAGAGGCTACAGAATAGCTAAGTATGTGAAACATCTGCTATCCTGAAAGTTCTTTGCATTATGTTCTATTAAACCCTTTGGTTGGTTTGACTTAAGCTCCAACTACCAACAATGAATTTCAGTTGACATGAGTGCACTTGAAGCAATCCATATACAGTGAAGTCCAATAGTTCTTATACCTGGAATGCAAAGAGCAGCACAAGCACCAAAAACTCATGCCAGTAAAAAAATGGCAAAAAATGTGAAGCCATGTGGCTGAAAACATGTTCCAACAAATTTGTAGCCAAATAGGCTGTACAAGAAGTTCATGTTCTAATGCAAAACCAGCAACAAATGGAAGATCTGCAAGGCAAACCCATGCACTTTTCCATTGAGCTCTCAAGGTTTGTCCCTGACTGCTTTGCAGGTACCCCAAGAAGATGAACTTCCTTTAAAGTTCTTTCTTCTATTTCCCCTTTGCTTTCTGCTGCTGCTGCCATTTGATCCATGCTTCTCGCCCAGGCAATCTCAAACCTGCAAATGAAGGCTTCAAACATGCAGAGCAGCCATTGGAGTTGCCACGACATCGAATGCATCCATACTTGAGGTTGCCATTCTTGTGCTTGCCAACCTTGGTAGGTTTCTCAACACTGGTTGGACAAGGTCTTTGGAAAGGCTTGCTGGCTGCAGGCCTCTTAAGGCAGGCTGCTGGCCTTTTCATAGGCTTTTGTCCACTGCCGGTTTTCTTTCCACTTAAAAGGTCAAATGCTTTCTGCTCAAACTCCTCCAAGGATGTAGGCTGCTTATCAGCATCCTCTGGCTCTGCCAAAGGACTGGAAGGCAACTCTTCCTTGGAGGCTGACTTGCTGTGACATGCGCTTTCAAAGCTGCCTTTGGTTTGAAGAGGCAAAGTTGTTGAAGACTGCTGCTGCTTTTGCTGAAGAGCTTGTTCATTCCCTTGACTTTGACTTTGGAAGCAATCCAAAGACCTTGCCCTGGTGAGCATCAAATCAAACATTTTCCACATAGACTCAGGACTGTTCTGTGGAGTAGCTGGGGCCCTGTCCTGGTGTTTCTGAGCAGGAACATGCTCAGGTTGGAGTAGTGCATGAGTGTTTCTCACAGGCAAAGGCTTCAGCAATGCACCCACACTGGTTCCCACATCAGGAGGTACATGAGCTGGTGGATCACCATCTTCATAGCAAGACTTCAAGAAATCCTCAAGCTGCCAAACAACAAATGAACACATGATGTGAAAAGATACAAAATAAAGCAGCACATAAAAAACACTTTTATGCAAGTTTCTTCTCCAAGCTCATTTGGAAATGGTGTGTATTTTGAATAACCAGCAACTGCAGGAGCCTGAGATGAAGACACAAAGCATTGCCTCACATAGTTTGCAAGCTTCTTTTGTTCTCCAGCAGGTGGTAAAGGATGCCCTTGTGCTTGCTGGAGGTACAGCAAGAATGCGCAAGCTGCCTTTTTGGAGTCTTCCTTTAGACTAATCAGGCCACATTTCCTCATGCGACCCACCAAAGTGGCAGAAGCTTCCATGAGACCTTGAGACTGAATCTTCTCCCACTCCTTGGAACTCAAATAATTGTAGACTTGTCTCATTGACTGTGGAGTTGCTGTCACCCTGACTGCACCGACTTGGGACTCTGATGTTTTCTCTTCACATACTTCAATGATGTTGTCTTTTATATTCTGTGGGAGCTCCAAGGCTTCCAAAGCATCCATTATCTGCAAGAAAGCTGATGGGCCAATGTCAGGGATTGCCCTCAGCTTGGCAAGAACCGACTTGAGCATCTTTTCAACCAAAGAGCTATTGGCTCTTTTCTGGAATATCTTGTCCAAATCTTTCATTTCCCTCAGCAAGTCTTCTATGCTCCACTGAGCCATCTGAGCAATAGATCAGAATAGATCTAAATGAGTGAAAGCTTTTGCCAAAATGGCTTGCAGTTGAAATAATACTTGCAACATGTTGCAAACACACTTTGAAATAGAGTTTTGGTCATCCATACATTCCAAATACAAATCTGAAGCCATTATGGCTAAAGTTGGCAAATCAATACAAAGTCAAAATCTGCAGCAAACAAATGCTTAGCCAAAATCATATTTAAAATGTGAAGCAAAAATGCGAAATATTTTCAGCAAAGTGATGCAACACATGAGCTCAGTCTTTTCACTCATCAGTCTGACAGCTATAACACACATGTCTTCCAAACTTGATGCTCACAGCTTTGCTCTGGGCGCAAAGAATCTATCACCACTGTCCACCACCCTGCCAAGAGCAGAATTGGCCATGTCGAGCCCTTCACAAATGATAAAGCTCTGGAACAAGCGCTTCAAGATGTCATCATTCATCACCAGCCTGAGTTGTGCATATGGAAAGCAAATGGGTTTGCAAATAACATCTACCATGAAACCTACAAACAAAACATACTTGATCTATGCAAGTAGCGTCTTGAAGGTTTCAGAGTCCTCAATTCACACTGGCTGTCCAACAAAGCAATTACAGTTAAAGACAAATTTCACACAACTTTCTGAATGGTTGTACAAGTTTCAAAGCGAGCTTGTTCAATGACATGCCATTCTGGCAGGTGCACACTGTCATAGATCTTGATCTCTGAGCTACCATCAGCTGAAGGTGTATAGATTCTGAAAGACTCTGTGTTATCCAAAGCCATAATGATCCTGATGCCCAATGGCCTGAAGTGGAAAGCTGCATACCGAGTAGGAGATGCCATGGCTGAGATCTGTTCACAGAGAGTGTTGATCTACTGTGACTTGTGTGATGTCACCAAAAGCTTGAAAAGTCAAACAATTTCATTCAAATACATTATAGTGGTTGAAGTTGGTTAATGTTTGTCAATGGTTAAAAACTGTAAAATTATAATGACCAGCAAATGCACACACTTACACATTTATTTCAAAATTTAGTTAAAACAGCTTTAGATACCTTAAATCTTAAATTATATATATAAATTAAATTCTAAAATATTTTTGATTTCAATTTCTAATTATAAATTGAAATTAATACATTTTAAATTTCAATTTATAATTATAAATTGAAACTAAAACATTTTTGATTTCAATTTATAATTATAAATTGAAATTAAGACACTTTAAATTTCAATTTATAATTATAAATTGAAATTAAGACATTTTAAATTTCAATTTATAATTATAAATTGAAATTAAAAAATCTTAAATTTCAATTTATAATCATAAATTCAAAAAAATACATTTGTATTAAATATAATAGCTATATTTTCAAAAATATACAAAAATATTGTTTAAAATACTAAATGTGTAGCCAACAACAAAGGCTTATACAAATGACATACATAGTTAAATTTGTAGCCAACCAAAGCTTACTTCCAGAAAAGCAAACAACCAAGAGCAAGAAGATATGACATCTTTTCCTCAGCACAGATTGCAAACTCAAATCAGCAGCAGTCAGCTGCACAAAGGATGTGAAAACTGAAAGTCCTTTGGCCATCCACACTCATTGATTTTCTTCTCCAAGATTTGTATCACTGGTTTCAGAGTGGGATGGCTCATGTATCGCATCATGATCCTTCTGGTCCTTGGCAAGTCTCCCTGTTTGTACGCAATGAGCAGCAGTGCCATTTTCATCAACCAGCCTTGCTGTTGACCAGGTAGAACTGGAGCCTGAAAGAGTGCAATGTGCAACAAATGTTTTACATAATTGAAATATACATAGATATTTGAACAATGATACAAAATCTAATCAATGAAATAGAAAACCTTCCCACATGAATGGCCAGTGGCAGAGTATTTGGTTGCAACTGGTCCAAAAAGCCTGTTCTTCATTGCAAGGACATCTACCTTGCACTTTTTGTCCTCATTGGCTTCAGGATCTGAAGGTTTTGCTTTTCTTTTGCGCAAAGCCTTCCATGGTGGTGCATCTCCTGAAGAAGCTTCACCCTGAGGAAGCTTGGGTAGTGTGTCCACCACTGGTACTTCTGGTCCCAATGCTACTTCTGGTTCAAGTACTTTTGCAGTCATTGGTGGCTCAGAAGGCTGCTCACCAAGCTTTTTGTATGATTCATCTTTTGCCAAGCCAGGGCTTGTGTTCTCTGCTTCAGGTTCATGTGGAGCTGTGCCATGATCTTGTGGAAAACCAGCCTGCTCCACAATCTGGCGAAGGGCCTGCATTCAGAACAAGTGCTTGGTTTCATTGGATGAACAAAAAAACATACCCTCAAACTCATGAAAAGCTTACAGAAGCACTTCAGCCAAAGATCTTTCTCATCTTCCTTGTGGGCTGCTTCCAACATAGTCAAAAGCATTGCATCTAAATCTGTTGTCTCCATGTCTTCAAATGGGTTGTCCTCCTGCAATATCAGGGCGATTATCTGCAGCAGCTAATGAGCATCTTGTCTTGAACAATGAGATCTTTATTGAATACTTTGTTAACCAAAACAAATTGTTTATGCAATTCAATCAAATCATGTTCACTATCCAGTCCTCAGGCACTGGGTCTTCCCAGCGGTCCCATGAGTCATCTGCATTGGTGCGCAGGGCAGCATGACTTCCACATGGCTGGGGCGACAAAGACCTTTTCATTTCAACCCCATAAAGTGTGGCTGAAGCAATTGTTACAACAATAGTCAACACAAATGAAGACTGCTGAGGTTTTAGTATGGAAAGCCTTAACCACAGGTGATAACTGTTCATGACAGTACAAGAAGCTGTGGAACCATAAACACTCCATTATTTTGCAAACATTAGTTCCAATGCAAATATTGGAGCTTCTCAAAAAGCTCTCAAACAAATAGCATGGAGCTTACAAGCAAATCTGTAGCCTTTAAGCTTCACATGATAATGAAATGAAAAACACTCAGCAAACATTCAACCAAAAAGAATCTGGTGCCTCACAGGCAAAACAATAGCATGCTTTCTTAAACAAACTCTGGAGCTTAAAAGGAAGCTTCTCAAAAATATTGGCGAAAATAATTGCAGCGCACTTTTTCATGAGCCTTTTGAAGTCTGCACACCTATTCAGTTTCTTTCAAAATTGCCAGCCTATGCCTTCCTCCGCTTCTTTGCAGGGAGCTCTGCTTTGAGCACATCTGAAGGCCTTGTCAGCCATGTATTTGGACCAATCACATCCTTGTTCTCCAGAATGGGGATGGTTGCACCCTTGTACTCAATGTAAGCCAAGCTCATGTTGGCCTCATTCTCATCCTCAGTGGTTCCCACAAGCCAAAAGGGACAAAGTACTCCAGGATCTTTGGGTTTGTCGAAGTTGGAAAAGGTCTTGAAGGGAAGGAGGTCATACTTTACCTCATTGAACTTCACACAAAAGCGCTCCTTCTCCTTTGCTGAGTCTTTGGGCTTGTTGCAAAAGCCCACAGGATAAAGCTGAAGCTCTTTCTTTTTGAATTTCTTCAAGGTCACCACCCCTGCTGGGCACATGGTGAATCCCAGCATCTCTTCATTTGGTTTTTTGGAATTCATATATGCATCTAAAAGGAAGCTGTTGACCTGCAGCCTGGAGAACTCATCCAACACAATGGTTGAAGTGTGAGGGAGCTTCAGGGCTGCCAAGGCTGCAGGGCACATAGAAGTCCCTTGCTTCTTTGTATGTTTCCAGTTCTTCAAGCTCTCATAGGATTCCTGTACTTCCTCTGGATCACCAAACAGAGGAGTATGGACAAAAGTAGCGCAATCATCCTTGAGGCTCTCCAAGCGAAAGAGTTTGTCTGAGCCATGTTCTTTATGAAAGAACCTCACAAGACACCAACAACACACCAACAGTGAAGAAAAGAACATACAAAACCATAGCTGAAAAAGGTTGACAAAGCTGAAGACTTCCAAGGAACATCTTGCCAACCTCAATCTGGGAGTTCTGCAACTTTGCAATGTCTGCATTGGAGCAATTGATCAGATCATGTACTTTAACATCTTTTTTTTGCTCAGTGCTAGCTGCAGTGGAAGCTGAATCACCTTTGAGATCATCTTGAAATTGCTGGACCACTTCTTCAAAGGACTCAAAGGAATCCTTCTTTTGCTTCATGACTGCTAGCAAAATCATGCGCCTGCAAAAGTTCCCAAAGGCTTGGGATGCAGAAACCTGTGGTAGAAGCCCTTCGCATGCCTTCCAAGCATCACTAAGCATTGTCTCAATGTCTGAGAGCTTCTTGTGACTCTTGAGCTTCTGGAAGTCACTGGGGTAGATGAGCTTGGAAATTCCACTCATGGACTTGGGACTGGTGAGTACAGTTGCCAGAATGGCAATCCTGAGGAACATGCAGCAGGCGCTTGCAAGCTTGAAGTCAGTATGCGCAAGAAGGTTCATGCATTCTTCTCCAGCCAGCAGGCTGCGACCTTCTGCCTTGCCTCAGAGAATTGCAAGCTGAACCATGAAGCATGGGACACCATCAACAAGCATCCTGAGCCAAAAAACTCAGAAGAAAAGCATTGACCATGATTTTAGCAAAGAAACAAAATGAATCCAGCCACTTCAAAAGTGGAAAAGCATCTCCTCCAGCGTAGAGCCTGACAAACAATGCTACATCCTGGAGGTAAGCCATGCATGCAGGTGCAGATTGCTCCACAGCACTGATTGCTGCAGACATTTGCATCCCTGACTTGTAAAGGCTGCTCAACTGCATCATGCATTCAAGCTCACTTGCAGCCAGAGCATTGGTGTTCTGGGCATTCATCGACATGGATCCAAATGATGCCAGAGTTGGAAAGATCTGCTCTGCTTCAGCCTTGATTACCAACCACTGCCACCCTTCCTCCAACAAAGGCTTCAAAGAAGCTGTGACAGTCAGTTTCCTGCCTTCAGGGTTGGAAGCTCCATACTCAACAGCTCTGAGCCACTGTGTGAAATGGCTTGAAGCAATGCTCAGAAAGCGCTCAGTACCATGCAAAGGAGACAGCATATTGTCAGCTGAAGCGACCATCTTTTTGTTGGCTTCAATTTGCTGTGAGCGAACATGAGGCAGTGTGGACAGTTCCACACAGAGGCTGTTTGCAGTCAACAAATCACTTTTCACTCCAGCTTGTAAAATTGCACTGCCTTTCTGGTGGGCATCGTGATGGTTGATCATTGATGATCCTCTATTGCATGGATGCACCATGACATCCCTTGGTACAATGGTGGTGCTATACACCAGTCCATAGCCCTTCAGAATCTCCAAGATCATGTTCAACCTGGTGTTCACACCCAGAGTGCATCCTGTACTGAGAAGACCTTCGACCTTCTCTTTCACATCTGGTGGCACCGACATGGCTGGACTGGTGCCAAGTTCTTGCAAATCACCAGTAAAGTGTTTGCCTTTGCTTGGTTAACATGTTGCACTTCAAGCTATGCCTTTTGTGTTTTTGTGTGAACCCTCAGGCTGCTTCTCTCAAAAAACTGCTTTCATGTTTGTGACCTGCACATTTCTCAACAAATTCCTTCAAGAACCTCACAGCAGGAGGATCCACAAGAAAACATCTGTCAAACACACAACAAAACAGAAAGCCCAAAAAGGCTTGTGAGCAAACAAATTCACACATTGCAGCTAAACAAGAAGCTGAAAAAGCTCAAACAAAATGTGCACAAACAAGAGCACATGTTCCCAGCCCAAACAAGGAACAGCACTTTTTTCCATGACTCCACCAAGGCTCTTGTCTCAGGAGCTCCCAGCGCCACCAGCCTTTGCAAATTTGCCACTCTTGGTGTACTCACGCTTGGAAATGCTTCCATCTTGGCAATCTGCCTCCAAATGCCCGAAGACTGCTTGTAGCTGATCAGGTTGAAGAAGCACCATCACATCTGAGCTACTGGTTCTTTTGCCAGGAGCAAGCATTTGTACTTGTACAGCACCAAGTTGCACCTGCAAGACATGTTCATGCTTTCTCTTTTTGCTATTCTCTTCACCCTTTTCTTCTTGAGCCTCAATCTGCTCATTCCTCAACCTCTTAAGGTCAGCCATTGCCCCTCCATTTGTCAAGGTTTTGTCACCATTTCTCCCACACACCAATTTGCACAGAGCTGGTGAGCTTCCTTGAAGCTTCAAATAAGAATTTCCATCCAAATCCTTCAGGGCAAGTTAGTGGCTTGTTTCAAAGAGTTCATGCATGGCTCATTTAGAAACACATGCGAACAAGAGTCCTTCACCAACATGTTCTTTGGGATTTCCACTTTCTTTCGACCTTTGTAGGAAAGCTCCAGTTTGTAGCCAATAGTCACATTGTTTGCTTCTGCTGCTTCTTCATCTGACATTGCATGTGCTAAAGCTACACTGACATGCTCACCAAATATGGAGCCAAACCTTTCAAAAATTGAAGCTGCCGCCACAAACAAAACCAGAAGCTGGAACAAATCCAGCTGGTGTGTGCTGAGAAACAAAAACAAAACAATTCTAATCAAAAGCCCATTTGGCTGCAACATAAACCAAAAAGGGGTGGAAAGACATGTGCAAATGCAAGTGTTGCTTTTGCTTGCTAAAAGGAAATTCATTTGAAATAGTCTTGCTTTCAAAAATAAACATAGGCCCATGGGCAAAATTCTTATCACCAGAAGGTGTTTCTATCAAAGCGAAACAACAAACCAAAGTAAGGAAAATAATGAACATAATTTGCTTCTAACTATGTTAACTTTTGAGCTAATGTGTCTAAAATTTTAAGATAGTTAAGATAATTAGCTAAAAGTTAACATAAATTACTAACTATCTTAAAAAACATAACATAATTACAACAGTTATAACAATTTAGGAGATGGTTAGCACATGGTTAGGATATCATTAGTATTTAGTTAGTATTTAGCTTAACTATCTTAACACATTAGAAAAGCACAGCCCATCTCAGCAGAGCGTCGCTCGGCCACTGTCTGCGGCGCCTACAGAGCAACGTCGCGTTCGGCGAGAAAAAAAAAGAAAACGCTGTAACCAGTAGCAAGCAAGTCACACGGGGCGTCGACGGCGCAACGCGCGGAGGGCCGCGGTGGTGGGTCGGTCGTCGTGGTCGTTCCCTCGCTCTCGTTTCCGCAGAGTCGCTGGCCGCTCCCGCGCGTCGCGCCCGCTGTCTCGGACGGTTGCTGGACGTCACGACCTTGTCGGTTCGGTTCGCTCGGCTTCGGTGGTCGAGGGCGTTCCCGCGCTCTCGTTGCCGTGGACTCGTTGGCCGCTCGCGAGCGTCGCGCCCGGTGTCTCGGACGGCAGGTGGATGTCAGTACCTCGTCGGTCTGGTGCGCTCGGTTTGGACTGCGTGCGATCGAGGGAAAGCCATGACGGCGCGCGCGTCGTTGCAGGTGCTCGACGAGGACATCGACCGTCGGTGGGGGTCCGACAGACACCAACCCCCCCCTGTGCAAGACGGGGGCCGGGGACTCGGGCACCCCGGCAGCATCCGTCTGAGGGACGGAGGCTGACTGCCCGGGCTGCACCTCGCAGCCAAAAGTCGGGAGAGCCGTCTGTGGGGGCTAAGGCGGCAACAGTTGGCTCGCAACCAGAGCGTCGCTCATCCCAGTGAGACACAGCTGCGTACCAAACAGGGAGAACTCTCTCCACTCCAAAAGCCGTCGCGCAAAGCAGATCGACCTCACCCGGTGGAATTTTCTTCAGCAACTTATATATATATATATATGGATATATACGTTAGAGTTCTACGTCAAAGTCGTGTCTGCACAAGTTCCTGGTGTCAGTCACAGCAGACACTTGCGCCCAAAGCAAACGCAGCACCGCCGGCGTGCCAAAACCAAAGCCAGCGCAGAGAAACGCGCAAACCGACAAAAACGGATGCGTGCCGGGGATGGAGGTGACACGTTTCTTCCTCGTCCGCTCCTTAGTTTTCGTTCCCGTGAAAACCGCTATCACTGTTTTGCCACTTTTTCCATATACTGCCATAATTATGTAATAACGAACACAACTATTGCTGCGTTGCAAGTAATGACTTGAGTGTAAAGTGAATATGTATGTATATAATGCACGCCAATCAAACATACACATGGTGAGAGACGGTGTGGGAGCAACACATCTCTTGTTCCACTATACGCAGCTGGCTCAAAACAAACCCCCAGATAGGAGGAACACACTTACTAACTTCACAACCACTGTCGGAGAAAACAATATTTTTTTCACGTCGATATTTCGTATGACCAGAACAGAGCCCAGCTTCGCCAGCGGCAAGAGCGTCGCGCACGCCAGCTGCCCGCACTCCCTGTGATGACTCACAGGTATCTTTATACCATGAGAATTTTGTTCGAACCTGTTCCGTATCCTCTGAAGAAACCCAGAGCTCAGCTTCGCCTGTGGCAAGAGCGTAGAGCGTCGCTGACGCCAGCTACCCACACTCCCTCTGTGATGACTCACAGGTATTTTTATACAAGGAGAATTTTCTTCGAGCCGGTTTCGTATCCCCAGAAGAAAGCCAGAGGTCAGCTTCGCCTCTGGCCAGAGCGTCGCTCATGCCAGCTACCCACACCCCCGGTGATGACTCGCAGGCAGCCTATTTCGTATCGCCAGAACAAGACGAAAGCTCGATCCTATTTCGGGCAACCTCACTTCGACAGCAACAGCCGAACGACTCCGAGCGGAAAGAAAAGAGGAGCGAATGTGCTTTTCCTTGCGCTTTTTCATGTACATGTGGAATGCAGCTGTCTTGTGCTGTGCGCTTTCGTGTCTTTCTTGCACGCGCGAGACACTGTACACCAAGACGCAGTAAACCAGAAACAGACAAACAGTGACAAACAAAGCGTGCCAGAACAGCGGTTTGTGCGGGGCCTGGGACATGGGGCATCCCTGCTGTCTTGTGAACATCCGCTCGGTAGTGCGGGGATGGATGTGACGTGTCTGTTCCTCGTCCACTCGCGGTCGTGAGTCTTTGCGGCTTCGGGTCGCGCGCGCGTGCGGGTGCGCGTGTGGGGAGCAGAAGTGGAGAACCTGAGTTCGTGCACACGGCTCGAGCCAGCGCACGCGTATACACGAGACACATGGCACCGCAGTCTCAGCAGTGGTCACGGGAGAAGACAGACATCAAACAGAGGTCGGAGTAGGTACATGGTGCTACAACCCAGTCGTAAGAAGCAGCTGCACAAGAATCTGCAGACGGTTTCTTTCGAGTGATTTTCCGTGTTGCGTCGCTCCAAAGTGGGTGGCGCCAGCGCCTGATGCCGATGCATACACATTGGACTCGAACTCTACCCAGTCGATGGTTCCTGTGCACTTGGCTGCTAGCAAGCAGCTGCGCCATCTTATGTAGTTCTGCAAGACACCTGGACCCATTCTTTTGCATCAACCTCTGCGGTTGTGTCTTCAGCTTGCAAGCGCGACGTGCACTCCGAGCTACTTCGTGCAAGCAAGGCTGGATCCAGAAGAGTCGCTCCGCAGGCGGTCGGCGCTGCAAAGGACATCGCCGACAGAAGGCCCGGAGAAGGTTGCGCGCAGCGCTGCAAATATGTGGCTGGATTTGGTTGTTGGTCTGCGGATGTCGCGGCTCCTCGTGGACCTCAGTGGGCTATCAAGCGGCACGCTTAGGCAACGCCCGAGGGGAGTCGGCGCGAGGGCGACGCAGGCGAAAGCCGCGCACTGCGAAGAGCAAGGTGGTGCGGCAGAGCGAAATAGGGGCCTACTTCCTGCTCGTGCCGGGCCAGGGCGGGTGTCTGTTCTACACCGTGAGCACGGAGGTCAGTGGCGGGCAGAAGTGGACACTTAGCTGTGCCCTTGGTTGTCGCCGTGCCGAGCAACTGGACGTCGTGTGTTGTGTTGATCTCTGCGGGTATGGCTTCCGCGTGCAAACCCGACGAGACGTGCGAAAAGGGTGTCCTCAAGCCCAGACGGCGCCGAGATGGTACCTACCTCGAAAGGTCCGAAATCGAGAGCAGCATGCCGTGAACGGCAATCCTGAAGCCGCCGAGACGCTGCAAGCGCGAATTCGGTCGAATGTTGTACACATGCCGGGAGACGGTTGGTGCTTCTTCTACGCCGTGAGCCGGTACTTCAAAGGCAGCACACACTCGGGCCATGGCACACCCGCCGAAATCTATTTGCAAGCCATTGAGTGGTTGTTGGCGGCCCAGCACGGGCCACGCGCAGGCGCAGTCGCAACGGCGTGTGTCCCGTTCGACGACGACGAATTGCAGCTGCGTGAGCACTTCCTTCGACAACAGCCGACGGCCGTCAAGACTGCGCCCTCGAACACGACTGAAGTAGTCTTACTCAGTAAACTCCATGCAGTGTTGCTCCAGCCGGACATGTTAGATTCGATCCACCACGCTTCTGCCGGTGTGGAGTTGTGGGCTTTGACCCAGCAGTTCGATTTTGAATGTCTCATTTGGGGTGCCCAAGCGAATGTGAATTACTGGGTCCGGTCCATGGAGTGCCTCACCGACCAGGAAGCACATGCAAAGTTGCGACACCATAGCCCCGTGTTGGAGCTCGTACATCGAGACATGGGTGTCACCGGCCACTACGACTTGGTGGAACGTAGCCAGAACATCGGCGACCCCTTCCCAAGCACGCCTTTAGTTGAAGCTTTTCGTGCACAGGGTGCCAGAGCCGTCTTAGAAGCAGTCCAACAGTTGCTGGGGGCGGCGCAACCTCCGTTGCCGGCGCCACAGGCACCCCCCCCGAGGACCGAAGCACACCACAACCACCAACACGGAGCTCAGCTTCGCCAGTGGCGAGAGCGTCGCTCATGTCACCGACTGATCCTCCGTGTAATGACTCACAAATCTCTAGAGATCCGCAGCCCGCATGTCTCGCGCCGGAGGACAACTTCTGCTGGGACGAGATCCATGAAGAAGTTGGGGCCGCCCTAGACTCCGAGGCCGAAGCCGTCGACGTAGACGTCGAGAGCGTGGAATCTTGGGATTCGGAGGGATCCATGTCTTCGAACGACCTTGATCAGGGATTGACAGTGGAACCTCATCGCCACTGGTGCACGAAAGAAGATTCAGATTTGGAACGCACTCAAAACCTAGCCGCAGCCCTGAAGGACCACCCCCTGCTGCCTCCGAAATTGCCAGGATTCGATGCGCACGAAGCCGATCATACTTCGGGGATCTTATTTCCCAATGTGCACTGCGCCATCCAAGGCTGTCGCTGGTGCTCGAGAGAAGACCCTTGCCAACCCAATTGGACACACGCACGGGTGACGCAAGTGCAAAAACAGCGCTGGACCGAGCGTCCACAGACCTGCTGTGGCGATGCCACGAGTTGTTTGCGTGCGCATCTCAGCACCGCACACAAAGACCTGTTTGCGGGGGTGCGCCCTAGCGAGTTGCTGTCCGACTACCTAGCCGCTGTCGCTCTGACAGAGAAGCAACAAGTACCACGCGTGGGATGGAGCACGGACCGACGGACATTTCACCGCTTGGCACGAGAAGTCACAGAGCAACACATGGAAGGCTTGATTTGCGCATGCTGCGCACGCATCCACGTGGCCGCCAACCACGGAGAAACTGGATTTCAGACCGTGTCGGACTTGTTCTCCAGCCTCACCGAGGACAGCTTTCGAGCGAACT